TCATAAATTTAAAGCAATAAGAGCATGAACAATAAGAATTCTTTTTTATTCTTTTTCTTCTTCCTTTTTTTTTTTTTAAAAAAGATAGAGATAGAATTTTAACTCACTAAAGCATGGTCCAAAAAAGAGTTTTGTGGAGTTTTGTTCTCTGCACAAAACCCCATTCTTTACTGTTCTTGTTCCTTTAAAATTTGTTTTTGAGGTGATTGAGATGTGCATTACCTCACAACCTGTTAGACAATGCACTAGTTTTATCTTATCATTGGATCAAAATGATTCAACAGTTAGTAGTTATTTTTTTAAAAGTTTTTTATTTAAATCTTTTTATTTGGAGTGGATTAAATAAAATAATATTAATATGATTTTTACGAATGTTTAATTAGATATATGAATTGAATAGAAGATGTTTTATTTAAAAATTAAATATTAAAATCTGAATTTATATAAAACAATATTAATTGTGATAATATGATATCAAAATGGGGTTTTTTATTATTCTCATTGTAAATACTCTAATCAAAACATTCAATGAAGTAAATTGAGCAATAGGAGACCCACTTGTCAGTAATGGGATCATCGCCCGCGAGGGGTACAAATAAAACAACTAGGGACCCAATCACAATAAGTAAGTAGTTAAGGATCTGATTAGGCCAATCTGAAAAAGGTTAGGACCATCCACACAATCTAACTCTTCAAATTGCATTAACTTTTTTACTTTAAAAAAATAATAGAAGAGAAAATAAAAGAAAAGGCTTACTTTGATTGCATTAACAAAGCCTCATTTGATAAACTGGTCCACTACATTAGCCTTGGAAAAGAAAAAAAGGAAGAAGGTATAAATGGAATGCGTAACTTAAAAACAGCAAAGTAAAAAGTGATTTAAGTGGGGGAAAAATGAAGATAGAAAAAACCTATCAAAAGCAAAACTAGAGGAGTTTCTTCCTCTCAAAGAATGCCTTCAGATGCCATAGTTGCAAACCAGCCACAGATAAGCAAACAATGAGTGAAAAGAAACCAAGCATTACCATTCTGGAATTTGTTGATCTATTGAGCTGTTGCATTTCTTCCTCCCTAAATGAGACAAACAAAAAAATGGCAAGCATGAAACGTGGAAACATTTGGTTATAAACTGTACAAGAATCTAAAGCAGGAATTTCCATCCTTTTTCTAAGAAAAGAGTGGGAAACATTTATCTTGTTACATGACATAAGAAGAATGTAAAAACGAAAGGCAGATTAACCACTGCTTTAATGAAGGGAGATGACTGTTGGTGACTGTTGTCCATACTCTACCATGCCTGAGGGTAAAAACCTTGAATATTAGGTAAACTCAAACATCATACTAGTCAAGAGAGAGACTGTATTCCACCTAAAGCATGAAATATGATTAATTAATAGACGTTAAATTCAAAAATGGAAGTCTAAGGATCGATAGAGAATGTTTCTGAGATAGACAAGTAATATTTTCTTTTGCATAGCCTACAATCACAAGTGCAAGGAAGAAAAGTAACAAAAGAAACTGTTGCCTAAGTCGAGGATACAACAGCTATGCTGGTCCAAAAAATGGAAATAATACTCAACTAATTTCTATCAAATTGGCCAAGAGGGGAGGGGGAGCTTGTAATTGTATATCAGCCAACGCATGAAATTTTTACCATCTGGGGAGTAGGAAAAAATGCAACAAAATAAATTTATATGAAAAGGATGGAGCCATCAAGCTGATCTTTTTTACACACTATCCATTTCATACCTCTCACGAAGATAAAACATCTCCTCATGGATGGATGTGACCGTGTCATACAATTTCTTCAACTCAAGCAGCATCGTCTAAAACAAGAGAAAAAAAATTAACTTGACGAATACAACTGATCCATACATCAGTCAAGGTTGCTGCATAAGATTCTTTTTCCCTTCTTTTTTTTTTTTTCCATATGCTAATAAACTTTATATCATCAATACCACATTACTAACTATTAGATCAAAGAGGTAGCACCGTAGCAGTGCTAATGAGTCAAGCTGCTAGCAAGCTATTCAGATTGAAGCAGCGCCCATATAAATTTTTAACATGGAGAAATTGACAGGACCCACCATTTAGTTGTATTTACTAAAACAGCCAAGTGTGCATTTGGGATTACTTTCAGAGCACTTTTTCGCACAGCCTTGCATTAATTATTAAAAATGTTAAATCTGTTAGAACTAAATTGATTTTAATTAATACTTTATATATTTTAATAATAACACAAATGTACTTTACTTTTAAAAAGACATTAATTAATACACTTTTTAGTTCTTCACATTATACAATACATTTATTAAAAATTAATATTTTTTAATCTAAAATTAGAAGTAGACAAATTTAAAGATATAAGTATATATATAAGATTGTGATGATAGGATAACATAGAAATAGCCACAACCACAACACTATCCAACAACCCCAACAATCCACTTTCCAAATATAACAATTTATCTCAAAACTAAGAAACCGAATACAAGAGATAGAAAGGAAGGTAATAAGAAATTTTACTTACTTCGACCTGGCCTTTCTTAGCAACATTAGACCAATCTTTAGCAGCAACACCAGTTTTCCATTCAAAATCAACAGTCAATGTTATTGGAGGTTTGCGCTCGGCTCCCCAGAAGCAAGCAGTATAATCACCAGCCTCAGCTGCAGTAAATGCAAAATTGCCCGACTCCACATGAGCCCCATAGTGGTAATTGTTCCCATAAGGTGAAGTAACCTATAACAATAACACCACCATATTTCATCACCAAAATCAAAATCCCAGAAACGAATCACCAAATGGGGGCTTGAAATCTAATAACACCTCCTTAAGCATTAACCTTTCAACCTACCTCATAATAAAGTATACAAATTTACATGTGAACTGAATCAACCAGATGTTTCACACCCTTAATTCAATCCAAATCATTCTCAAATTAATTTCCCAGCAGAAATTGACCCAGAAAGATTGCATTTGTAAACGTTATGAGAATCGAGAGAGACAATGCATGCACAACGCATTTATATAGAAGAAACATGCAAAATGGGACGTACCCTGACAGTGAGCTTGTGGGAATCGGGTAAAGGAGTGCCGTCGTCGGGGTTGATGATTTTGTACTTGCCGACGGTCATGGAATTGGTCTTTATGTCCTCTGAAATGCACTTGGGACTCCCAGATGCCAGATCGAACCTCATTGCCTCCCCAATTTCCGACATTATTAAACCCAGGAAGAGAGGTAGAACAAGATTTAATCTAGACATTGTTAGAAGAGTCTGTTTAGATATCTGCAAATGGATTATTGCCATTTTAGATTCCAAAAAACTTAAAATTTCAGAGAGAGATCTGCTTATGATGATCATGCTGGGACTGAGTTACAAAACTACAACAGCAACCGAAAGCAGATACGAAATTTTTTTTTTTAATCTTGCCACGTCAAAAATTCTTGATTTTTTTTCTATGATATTAATAAAAATAAGATATTTTAATAATTAAAATACTAAAAAAATAAAAATTATTAAAAATTATTAATAAATCAACTCAAAAATAAAAATAAGTAATAATATTTAAATATATTTTTATAACATATGATATTTAAAGTGTCTTATTGTCATAATTTTTCCCTTCTCTCATTTTCAATTTCTCCATTTTTTTAATTAAAATAAACATCTAATTTTTAATTTCCCCGACTAATGGGCTTAAGTGTTAAGTCTTACACTTATCCGTTAGGTCTAGGTCTGGCCCGGTATGGGCTGGCCCATTAAACCCTTTTTTTTTTTTTTCAATCACCAAGCCTATAAAAATTGAGTCCTTATTTTGCAATTGAGATTGAACTTCGTCTTAAAACAGTTTTATGTTAAAAATTTATGAGATGACATCAAGATTCACTGGCGTATAAATAATGTTTTCTTACAATGAAATAATAATAATTGATGCCTTTATATTTATAGCAAGATGCATTCAATGAGAATATGTCAACTCCTTTAATTACATATATATTTTGAGATTTTATTTAGCAACTTAATAACATAACTAGTTTAGTAGAATTTTTTATATAATAGAAATAAAAAATTTTAAATTTAAATCATATGATATATAATTGGTATAAATTAAAAGATATAAAAAGATGATTTTTAATTATATAATTTAAAATTTTAAAAAATTATTTGACAAATTTTTATTGCATTATAAGAAAACATTAA